GGCCGGCGCCCGCAGCCTCGGGGCGTGAGGTCTGTCGCACTCGCTCGGGCGCGGCTGGAGCTGTCGGAAGGTGTGCGGAGGCCCGGCTGGTTCTGCAGCTGCGGGCTGGGGCAGCCGTGCGGGAATTCGCCCTGGCGCAGCGCGGGCCCTGCCGTGGGCGGGGCGCGAACGGGCCCCTGGACCGCTCCGGCCTCGCAGCCTGTTGCACGTGCCTCCCTGCGTGGACAGTTGCTGGCCGCCTGTGCCAGGTGCCCAGCCCGGCCGCACACCCTCCACAGCTGCTGTGTGGGTGGGTGGGTCAGAGCCGGGGCAGACCTAGAGGTCATCTGTTAAATTCAGGTTTTCCTGGGCTAGTGGGACACTTGGGAGACAGAAGTATAAAGAAGGGTTGCACTGTTAGTCCTTAGCTCTCTCACCTGCGGTGCAGTAAGACTTTCAGGAAAACCGCAAAATGTCTGCAGATGCGAGTGCCCAGTACAAAAGTGCTTCCTCTTTTCTGCTTTCTCATGGTGACTTGAGAAACAGGCTTTAATTCCTCTTGGTAACTGAGAAAGCGCATTGTTTATCTAGCAGAGCTGTGGGGCGTGATCAGGCATATTTGGCTGCCTAGATATGAAAGATGGAGTCAGTGATTGGCTTGGGGTCTAGCAGTGTGGCCTGACAAGCTGCAGAGGGCTTCAGGAACTCCTGACAGAGAGCAGTGAGGCCCTTCCTTCTGGGGGGGGCCTGGGTCTCTGAAAACAACCTTTGTAAGGAGGAAGTGCTCAGAGCTGCACCTGGCTCTGCTCCTCAGCTCTTCTCCCTCACAGTACACTGTGTGCTTGGTAGCCAGAGCCTTGTCTGCATTTTGTGGGTCCTGCTGGTTTACCGTCAGGTAGAGCCAAACCACTTGTTAGACTTTCTGGCAGTGCAGGACCCATGGCTGGATTTTCCTAAGGCCATTTTCCAAGTCAGGACCTGGAATGCTGTTATATTGGGAGGGCTGTAAACCAAGTGCTGACTTTCTAAAATGAATATTAACAACTTTATTAAAAATGTATTTGTAGCCAGGCGTGGTGGTACACACCTGTAATTCCAGCAATCCAGAGGCTGAGGCAGGAAGATCACCATAAGTTGGAGGCCAGCCCGGGATATACAGTGAGTTCAAGGCAGCCTGAACTATGTATCAAGACCCTGTCTCAAAAAAACAGCCAAAAATGCATTTGTTCACCCTTAGGAACATATAGAAAAAAATAAACACATTTGTTGATACGATAGCTTCATAAGCGTATAATTGTAAACAGTGCAGCCAGCGTGAGGTTGGTATTTTGTGAGTAAAGGTTCTTAATTCTTTTTGAGTTTTTGAGACAAGGTCCCTCACTTTGTATTTCAGGCGGGCCTTGGACTGTCAGTGATCCTCCTGCTTCAGCCTCTGGAGCGCTAGGAGTACAGTGGCCCATTTAGGTTCTTTATTCTGTGGGTCACAGGCCCTTGAAAATAGAATCGAAACTCTTTGGTCCTCTTCCCAGAACAATTTGCCCCCCTCATTTCGCATGATGTCTGAGAGGCCCTGGACCCTAAATCTTATCTGTTGACCCCCATAGGTCTTGGCTCTTTTTTCTTTCCCTGGCAGTGCTGGGAATAGAGCCCCGGGAAGCATACATAGTAAACACAAGCTCTACCCATGAGCTGCATCCCTAGGCCTCTGGTTTTGTTTTCATTTGTGGTAAAAGCAGTTTGCTGTTATCCAGGCATCATTTTATACAAGGGATCTGCTCACTGTTTTCAGCAGATCACCAGTGAGCACATACTTTCTCCTCCTCCTTATTTGGAAATCCTATAGTTACAGACCCAAAGAAGTTGCAAAATGAGCTCATGAACCCTTTGCCTAGTTTGCTTAGTGATGGCCAAACCAAAAAGCCGGCACTGGCATGAACCATGCCACATGCAGACCTGTCAGTTTTCAGCCTGCACCAGGGCGGGGGTGGGGGGCAGATGTTTCTAACTCAGATTTGTGTGACCATAACAGTCAGGACAGAGTTGTGGAGATACCCTGTGCTCCCAGGGCTGCCCCACCCTGCCCTGTGACAAGCAGTAATCTGTTCTTTATCACCATACTTTGGTCATTAAAGAATCCTTTGAAAATACTAATCTGTTGAGCTGGACTGGCCAAGGAGCTTGGAAAAGGCAATTTAGCCACTTTGTAAGACTGTCTCAAAATAAAGCATAAGAAAGGAAAAGAAAAGAAAAGAAGAAAAAGAAAAGACTAATTTGTCAAATAATAAATTTGCCTTCTGGCAAGATTAGCCCTTTGTCCGCTCCTCCTACGCATACTCCAGTGGCATGGTGTGTCAGTTAAACCCTGTTGCTGTCTTGGATTCCTGAGGAAGGACGAATGTTTTAAAAGAGACAATATAGCCAAGTATGCGTGTACAGTCCCAGCCTTCTGGGAGGCTGAGGCTGGAAGATACTAAATTTGAGCCCAATTTAGGTAACTTAGCAATTTAGTGAGACCATGTGTTAAAATATATGTGTGTGTGTGTGTGTGTGTGTGTGTGTGTGTGTGTGTGTGTAATATATATATGAACTGTGGATGTAGTTCAGTGTGAAATCCCTGGGTTCAATTCTTAGTGCTAAAAAAAAGAATACAGTGTAGTATTTCTTGCCCCCAGCCACCTGTATTGTCACTGGTTTGGGGCCAGTGCGCCGCCTAGTGGCCACTGAGCCACAGGACACACGTTTTTCAGTGGCTGTCCTCTCTCCTAAGTCTTGGGGCCGCGTCCCTGTGCCTTTCTTGGGTCTGCTGCAGGGGTCCTGCTGGGTTTGGGTGGAAGCGAACGCCTCACTTACGTTTCTGCTTTCAAACATTATCTCCCTAGCCATCGATGAGTACAAGCCCCAGGATGCCACCACCAACCCATCCCTAATCCTGGCTGCGGCACAGATGCCTGCCTACCAAGGGCTGGTAGAGGAGGCTATTGCCTATGGGAAGAAGCTAGGCGGGTGAGTGCAGCTGGGGCCAGCAAGTTCCACTGGTCTCCTCGGCCTGTTGCCCTCCCTACCCAATGCTGTCCTTTTCGTTTGTGGTACTGCGGGTTAAAGCCAGGGCTGCCATACTACTGAGCTATTCCTTAGCACATTTTTGTTTTGACTTTGAACTTGTGATCCTCCTGCCTCCTGAGTGCTGGGATTTTAGGTTTACCCCTCCACATGTGAGTCCCAACCCTGTTGATTGATTGACTAATTGAGATAGGGTCTTGCTGACTTACCCAGGGTGGCCTCCAGTTTGTAATCCTCCTGCCTCAGCCTCCTAAGTGACTGGGATTATGAGCCACCATGCCTGGTTTTCATTGGCTTATGTTTATTTGTTTGTAGACATGGTCTTGGTATGTAGTTCAGGCTGGCCTGGATTTATGATGATCCTCCTGCCTCACCCTCCCCAAGTGCTGGGATTACACGTGTGCGCCACCATGCCTGGCCTCTCATTGCCTTACGAAGTGAGCTTTGCACAGAGAGCCTGTGCCCAATGTGTCAGGGAGTGCTGGCAGCACCCCAGACTCCCTCTGGTCAGACTCTGCGGCTCCTGAACACTGCTCGGCCTCTGGCTGCCATTTATTATTTTAGCAGTGGATTTGTGTGGCACTGCTCCTGCCACCATGTCTGTGCAGCAGCACCAGGCACTGTTTGCACTGGTACTACTCTCACCCAGGCAGCCACAGACCTAGCTTCGATTTCCATAGGTGTGTATTTCCCTCCCAGTGCTAACACATGGCTCAGGGTTGTGCCTGGCCTGGCAGGTGGTGTGGCTCCTGGCCAGGTCTTCCAAACCACACAAAGCCGCTCTACACCCCGGGTCTCCCTTGCTCTCCTTTACTCCACTCCTAGTACCCAGAACTGCTGTGGGAGGTACTCAGGTGGGTTCTGACCCCATATCTGCTGGACACTGGGTGCAGCATGACACTGGTGAAGTGTCATCGTGGGCAGTGGGCTGGTGAGGACCCTCAGACAGTTCCCTCCGGAGCATCACCTGCCCTGCACTTGGTGTCTGCCCATGCAACTTGGGAGAGGGTGAAGAGATGACTGCCAGTCAGATTTCATTGAGGTACAGTTCACACGATAAATAATGATTTTTTTTTTTTTTTTTTTTTTGGTTTTTCTCCGGTACCGGGAACCGAACTCACGACCTTGCGCTTGCCAGGCAGGCGCTTTGCCGCTGAGCTAAATCCCCAGCCCCGATAAATAATGGTTTTGTCCAATTTTTACACTTGTACTGGGGATTGAATCCAAGGCCTTTGCACTGAGCTACATTCTATTTTAAAAAAAATGCTTTTAATCTTGAGACAGGGTCTCAGTAAATTGCCCAGGCTGAGCTCAAACTTGGGATCTTCCTGCTTCAGCCTCCCAGAGTGCTGGGATTACTTACAAACATGTGCTACCATGCCCAGCCAAAGTGTTTTTAGAATTTAAAAAAAGGGGGGGCGGTGCTGGGGATTTAGCTCAGCGGCACAGCACCTGCCTGGCAAGCTCAAGGTTGTGAGTTTGATTCCCAGTACCAGAAAAAAAAAAAAAAAAACCAAGAATTTAAAAAAAAAAGAGGGAAATTTGGCAAAGGAATCGTGTTGTTTGATCAGCGCCTGTGTAATCTCACAAGCTCCTAACCTAGTTTTTTCCTCTGAATTTCAGGTCACAAGAGGACCAGATAAAAAACGCTATTGATAAACTTTTTGTGTTGTTTGGAGCAGAAATACTGAAGAAGATTCCAGGTCGTGTATCCACAGAAGTAGATGCAAGGTAGGAATGCTGGACGGGGTTGCTGTTGGGCTACCTCTGCCTGGTTTCTATCCCTGGGCACAGGGACAGTGTAGGAGAAAAAGGTTGGCTGTGTCGGGTCCTCCTGTGGCCACTTTGGTGGCGGGGAGCTCCCTGCTGAGGTCTCGTAGAGATAATGGGTCTCAATGCTGGCGAGGGCTCTGCATCTGAGGTGTCAGAGCTGTACCTTCTCTACCCCTCAGCCCAGAGCTCTGGCACCTTGCTCCTGGCTGGTGACGAGGGTGTGTGGCTCCTTGCTTTGTCAGGCTCTCCTTTGATAAGGACGCCATGGTGGTCCGAGCCAGGCGCCTCATCGAGCTGTACAAGGAGGCTGGAGTTGGCAAGGACAGAATTCTCATTAAGTTGTCATCCACCTGGGAGGGAATCCAGGCTGGAAGGTAAGTGGCCCTGCCTGCAAAAGCTTGAGGCTGCAGCTCTGTGCTGGGGCTGAGCTGAGTACTGAGCCAAGGCTGTGCTCCGCCTGGGCCCACACAAGTGTTCTTTCACCTGGCCAGGAAGCCTCATGGTTTGGTTTGTCTAGTGTATGGAAAGCAAGCCATGTTTGGCCAGGTGTGGTGGCGCACCCCTGTAATCCCAGCACTCGGAAGGCTGAGGTAGGACTGCTCTGAGTTTGAGGCCAGCCTGGACTGCATAGTGAAACCCTGTCTCAAAAAAAGACCCAAAACAGAAAAAGCAAACCATGCTTATACAAACATGTGCTCAAAGTGGAAGAGGCAGGAAAGCTAAGTATCCAAGGGAAGCTGCCCCAAGGTGCTTGCCCAGTCTGACAGTTGGCAAGAGGTGTCTGAGGAGTTGTCATGGGCCCTGTGTGGCTGTGTGTTTTGGTTTCTGGTGGGCAAATTGTGCAGGTGCAGTTGCTGGTTACGTGGTTGGAGGGCTGCAGACTATGACAGCCACCCTTGGACTCCCAGTGAGGCCACCTGGTGGGGCACCTCTGAAGCAGGCCCCTGGAGAGCAAGCTTGTCCCAGCCTGCACCTGAGGACATCCTCGGTGGATATGATGGGTGTTGGGCTCTGGTCCAGGAAGGATGGGTCCCCACAGTGGTCTGAGATGGCAGGGTGACTGTGCCGGGGGGACAGACTGGGGTTCCCGGGGCAGAGACAGGCATGTGGGCCCTTGGCCCTGCTGTGGCGTAGATGATAGTGGGAGCACCCTAGCACTGCAGAGCACTCCAGACTCATCCCCACCACAGTGGGCCTGCCCTCTGGAGCTGGGGCAGTGTGCTCACCTTCCTGTCCCCACAGGGAACTAGAGGAGCAGCATGGCATCCACTGCAACATGACGCTGCTCTTCTCCTTCGCCCAGGCCGTGGCCTGTGCTGAGGCGGGCGTGACACTCATCTCCCCCTTTGTGGGACGCATCCTCGACTGGCATGTGGCGAACACAGACAAGAAATCCTATGAGCCCCTGGAGGATCCTGGTGAGTGGCCCTCTAAGGTCACAGCTGAGGGCAGGGCTGGGGAGTGAAGGTTGGGGTGGGGCTTAGGGCCTCCTGGGACACGGCATGGTCTCCTCCAGGGGTCAAGAGTGTCACCAAAATCTACAACTACTACAAGAAGTTTGGTTACAAGACCATTGTCATGGGTGCCTCCTTCCGAAACACGGGCGAGATCAAGGCTTTGGCCGGCTGTGACTTCCTCACCATTTCTCCCAAGCTCCTGGGCGAGTTGCTCAAGGATAGCACCAAGCTGGTGCCCATGCTCTCAGCCAAGGCGGGTAAGGCCTGGGCCCAGCCTCAGCTACTGCTCCACCCCATAAGGCTGTGGGCCCCCTGGGTGCAGGTGCAGGTTAGCATAGTTGAGGCTTTGGGAGGGCGTGGTCTTCTTCTGCATTCACTTGGGTCTCTGGCTAAGTCCCACTACCATGGAGCCTTATAGGGAGTAAGGGTTGATGGGTGATGCCAGGCCTCAGGGACCAGGGTGGGCATGAAGGGTGTGGTGTCCCTCCAGCCCTGGCCAGTGACTTGGAAAAGATACACCTGGATGAGAAGTCTTTCCGCTGGCTGCACAATGAGGACCAGATGGCCGTGGAGAAGCTGTCTGAGGGGATCCGGAAGTTTGCTGCCGACGCTGTGAAGCTGGAGCGGATGCTGACAGTGAGTTCCATGCAGGTGGCCTTAATTCACACTGGCCTGTGAGCCACAGGGCAGAGGGGGACTTGCTGGGGTGCCCGTACAGCAGGGGCCTGCTGAGCATCCATCTTGGCCTGGCCCACACACCCATAGTCTCGAGGGCTAGTGAGGGCGAGGCAAAGCTCACTCTGACCTCCTTTCCAGGAAAAAATGTTCAGTGCAGAGAACGGGAAGTAGCATGCATCGCAGCGAGTGGACCCCAGGCCTTTGCTGCCCGTGACTGGAGTCCCAGCTGTGCAAGGCTTTGTGGAATCTTGTGTTTTTTAGCAACTGGGACAGGGATGGATCATAGGTTTCTGATTTTATGTAAAACTTCGCCTAATGCATTAAAGCAGTTGCTTTTCCTGTGCTGTTTCATTTTGCCATCTCAGTTACCCTTGTCCCCTACTGTTCCCACTGTGGGCCAGGCTGGGAGGTGGAGTTGGGGGGCCGAGAGCCCTGAGGTCCTAGTCGGGGTGACCCTAGCAGCTGGAGCCGGACCACCCTGGAGCTGAGTCCCAGGTGATGGTGGTGGGCCTTTGAGCTGCTGCTGGAGCTCAAGGGCGAGGTAAAGCCCAAGCTACAAAGTGCTTGTCACTAAGTCCCAGGCCTTGGCTTTGAAGGTAGGGCCTTGGCCGGGCTTAAAGCTGCCCTGGGGGTGAGGGTAACAGCCAAGTGTCAGTGCTCTCAGGCCCCTGCAGGTGCAGACCTACAGGGCTCCTCAGCTATTGTCCCTAGCCAAGGCCAGACAGGCAGGTTCCCTTGGGGAGCACCAGTGGCACTTATAGGGTGGCACAGCAGACTGCAGCCAGCTTTGAAACCTAGCAGGGAGACCTGGAACCTGGGAAGTACTCAGGGACCCCTTGGCTCCTGGGGACGCTAAGGCAAGGGTCAGGTGAGGGTGCTAGATTCAGGCCAGGCTGTGAAGCAAGCAGGGCGTAGGGAGTTGAGATCAAAGAGGGCCTGGGCCTGAGCACAGCAGACTCTGGTCAGTGAGGGTCCTTGAGCTGCCACTTGATGGGGTCAGGCACAGGGCAGAGCCCTGAACAGCTTCCGGCCCTGTCTAAACTGCCCACAAGCCGCTGTCCCCTGACCCTGGCCCCGTCTGCACAGACCTGCACTGCCCAGGAGGCAGCTTGGGGCAGAGCAGCAGGCAGGGGTCAAGACCCAGGCAGACAGTAGCGGCCACTCCCTGTCATGCGACAGTCTGTTGGGGGTGTCACTGACACTGTTTCAGGCTGGGTGCTCACACTGGGCAAGGCCACCAGTAGGAACATGGGCTCCTCAGCAGCCCAGGGACAAGGCCAGGTCACACACATGCATGTGGACACAGTTCACAAATGCAAGTTCTCTTACTATGTACCCTGTACCAACCCCTCATTCTCATCACCCCACAGCCAGCAGCAACCTCCTTCCTCTGATTTATCTCCTGGGTATTTCGTATAAACAGAACCACAGAAGGCTCTTGGTGACTGGCTTCTTTCACAGCACCAAGGTCTGGCCTTGGTGCTTATGTGTCAACTTCCTGACACTAAAAACACTAAGGATACCACAATACCCATCATAGGGAAGCCAATTTGTCCCTTGTAATTCTGCCTGGAGGATACGCATACCACTTATGGTGATGTAGGCTCTGCTTAGGCCATGGAAAAGCCCGCCTGGCTGCTGCCATGTTCCTGGAGGCTCTGTCCCTTTCCTCTCCTGCTGACTCCCAGCCTCTGAAGGTGGGGCCACCTTTTCCACCCACAGGTCTGGGTCACAAAGGTGGAACACAAGCAGCCTAAACAAGTGCTCAGCAGCTGTCACCGCTTGAATTACTGGCCATAGGCTCAGCATCTGTGTCCCCCAGAACTCCAGCAGGATGGTGACTGTGGCATCTTAGGGTCTTTGGTCAGGCCAGGATGGAGCCCTTACGACTGGGATTAAGGCCTTTATAGGAGGGTCCCCAACAAACTCCCAACCCTGCCACCGTGAAGAGCAGCCACAGCCAGGAAGCCCTCACCAGACAGATCTCCCGCCCCAGCCTCAGCCTTCAGAACCAGAGGAAATGCCCTTCTCTGCTTTATAAAACACCCAGTCTGCGCTTTCTGTTACAACTGCCTGGATGGACTAAGAGGACATGACTCAGATTTCTGAAAAGTTTTGTCAAGATGTACACACAGCAGACTGGGCCACACAAGGCCTACAGCAGCCTCTGTCTTGCTGGAAGCAGGGGCAGGCGAGGACACTTCGGGGGCAGGGGGGCTGCCTCACTGTCTTCCTCCACTGGATCCTGAATTTCCTCACTGACAGTGTAGAATCGTGGGTCCTCCCACCCACATCTCTGTCACAAGAGCCAGCCCTGTGCCTGGGGATAGCTGTGGCAGAGCCAGTCAAGCTGAGTACAGGATCAGGAGGAAGGGGGAGGCTCCAACCGGGGTGCTGAGCTTCTGCGGAGCCTGACTCAGAGCCAGCAGCTGCTTGGGGGTAGGATAGGAAAGCAAATGAGCTGCGTCCAGGAGGGCAGCCACTCTGTGGCCTCTGCCCCAACCAAGGCCTGTCCCGGGCCTACGCCGCCAGGACGCAGCCTTCCCATCTCAACAGGACCCAAGCCACCCGCGGCTGCTTCTGCAGGTGGAGCCAAGCTCTGGGCATCATGGGAGTGGTTCTTCTAAGAGTCTCACGGTGTGATTCTCTCAATGCCACATGGGCCACGGTTACATCACTGCGTCCACTGAAGGCCCCAGCACCATCCCAGGCTCAGCGAGGGCCTCTCCTCCTGCAGCAGGAATGTGGGGCTGCGGCTGGATCAAACCCTGTTCACCCCAGGCACAGGGGAGACATCCTGAGCCTCCCACGGGGCAAGGGCTAAAGGGTGGGGCTGTTATTCTTAGATACCCACAGCTGCTTCTGCTCCACACACCAACCAGTTCCCAGGAATGTAAAACTCGGAATTCTCAGAACTAATCAGCCACCAGCACTCAGGGTCGACCCTGAGCCACTGCCAGGAGCCAAGGGGCCAGGAAGGCAGGGCCTCTCCAGACAGCAGACAGCCCTGGGGCCAATTCCCAGACACGAGTCCCGGACATGGCCCAGTCGCAGGGAACAATGGAATCCTTGGAGCCAGAGGGAGTCCAGCTGCCTCTGAGGACACCTGGGCCACATCACAGGGGCAGTGTCTGCTGGCAGACTTATTTCCTGTGGGATGGACACATGGTCAAGGCTCAGCACCGGCACAGAGGAGCAGTTACAGGCAGATCCAGCCCAGGTCTCCCAAGCCTCACCGGCTGCTACAGAGGAACAGCAGGTTCTGCACAGCGGGGATGGTGGAGTTGGCATTCTGCCCGGTGACCAAGTGGCGGTCCAGCACCACGTGCACAGCATCAGGCTCACTGGCTAGGAGAGGGGAGGGCACGGGCCTTAGGCATTGGTGTCCCAGACCCATTTCACCCACTGAGGACCCAGCGAGCTGAGTGAGTTGGGCTGGCCTGCCTGGGCTGAGCTATGGCCAAAGGCATTGCTGGCTTCCCCCAAGGCACACCCAGATGGGCATTTAGGGGCATGCCAGGCTTACCACTGAAACCAGCACCTGAGTCCTTCACAAAGTCCTCCACGACTAGCGGCAGCCGGGCGAAGCCAGGGGCCCTGATGAGCTCATACACGGAGGGCTGTGGGGATGGGGGACTGAGCCTGACAATGGCCCAGCAGTTCTGCCCCTGCCAGGGCCCTCCCCCGCCCCAAGACCAGCCCTGAGGGACCGACAGGGGACACCAAAGCAGGAGCCTCACCCACACAGTGGAGATGAGAGCGGAGGCTGGCCCAAGGGAGGGTGATGCTGGGGTAGGAGGCCAGGGACGAGGCAAGGCCAGCTGTCCTCCCCCACCGGTGGCTCCGATGCCGAGGGCCTGGCTCCCTAGCATCAGGGCATCTAGGTTCGAGATGGGCTGGTGGCCCAGGCTGAGCCCCTTGGAGGGTAATGACTTTGCCCATGTGTGCTTGGCACCTGTCCCACGGGACACACATCCTCATTCAGGGGATAGTGGCTCTGGATACAGGGATGGCAGCCCACAGTGCTGTGAGAATCTGGCTGTGGATGCTGGCCCACTTGAGAGACACTCACCCCTGTCAGGCTATAGCCATGGAACACCCAGGACCTGTCCTCGCCGGTGGCACAGCACAGAGCAGCAACACCATGGCCAATGGCACAGATAGGCTCTGAAAGCAGTGAAGCAGCCTAAGTGAGGCCTGGGTTGCCAGTCGGATGCCCACACCCACATCCTGCCATAAGCGTGGCCACCACCCACCTCCCCAGGTGGGCATCAGTGCCAGGGCTTGCTTAGAGCCAAAGTCACCCCAGGTTGGGGGTTGAGATGCATATGAAGGAGAGATTCCCACTGCTGCTTCCATCTGCAGATCATCCTGGTGCAGAGAGGAGGCTCCCTGCCAGCGGGACAAGCACACCAGGCAGTGCCTTGGCCTGTGGCAGAGTTACTGGCACTTTTCCAAGGCTGCATGGCATGCATGAGTTCTCACAACTGAGGAAGCTGCCTGTCTAGGCCCAGAGATCACTCTCCCCAACAAAAGGTGCTGTGTGGCAGCCCGGCCTATCTGTGGGCTATCCCTGCTCATCACAATGAATCCCTGCCAGCAACCAACTCACCCACATAGGGCCCCAGGAGGGCACAGCCACCAGTGCCCTCAAGGGCCAGGACTGGAGCAGCATGACGTGTGTTTGGGGGAGTCACACTCTTGCGTGTCTAAGTGGCACACACTTGTCCACTAGCCAGGCAGGATCATGCGACTCTCTACGCAGGTCCAACTGGCTAGGGAAATGACTGGGCATGCCCAGCTCTGAACCTGAACCAGCAACCCAACCCCACCCGCAATGCCAGCCTATCTCTCGGTTCTTGTGACCTACTGCTCTCAGAGCGGAAGTGCTGCAGGATGCGAGCCAGGGACCCACTGTTGGCCAGGTCAGCCAGGGCACCAGGACAGCTGGGGATCAAGAGAGCATGGTAGCGGGCACCTGAGGGGAGACGACAGGCCGGAAGGCCACTAGTTAGTCCCACGAGCACAGCCAGGGCAGACCCCCCACAGGAACCAGCCACATGACCTCACATGTTACTGTCCCAAACCCCACACAGATCCCCTGGACAGCTGACCTACCCCTCCCCCAGAGGAGTGCAAGAACTCCAGGGCCCAGGGTATGAACTGAGGCTGCCCTGGACGGTCACGGAGCTTCATGGCAAGCCCCAGGTTGGCTGCAGGGGAAAAAAATGGGAACATGCACTGAGATCCCAAACCCATCTGCAGCCCCTGATGCTCCACGGTTTCAGGTGCCCCACCCGGGGAGGAACCTGCTGCCCAGAAGGAATCCGTCCTGGCCCACCATCGATAGACTCCAGCTTGGCAGGGCTGGCATAGGCCTTGAGGCGGAAGTCTTGAACCCAGCGTGCATTGCTCTCGGTCACGTCCACAAAGTCCATGGCTTTCCCCTGTAGGGGAGAGCCCAGAGGCCAAGGGTGAGCACTAGGGTCGCTGGTGAGTACTAGGGTCGCTGGTACTAGGGTCCAGACTTAGGAAAATGGCAAGCACTGTCCCACCCACCTTGCAGGTGACTTTAAAAGGTGGAAAATGGGCTGGGGATGTGCCTCAGCAGCAAAGAACTAGCCTAGCATGTGCAGGCTCTGGGCTTAAGCCTGAGCTCCAAAATAAGTAAATAAACAAACAAATCAAACACGCAAAGTTTTGACACACACCATGTCCTTAAGACGAGCATCTGTCCCACACAATCCCTTCCACAGGAAACATCTGTTACTCCCACTAGACTGAATCTCACTCCTCACTGGAAGCCATGCAAAAGCATAGACCACAGTGAAAAGCCCTCCCTTGCACCAATTGGGCCAGAGCCCAGGGATGGCGACCAATATGTTGCCAGGTCTAGGTGCAGAACCCTCACCCCAGGCCAGCTCTGTCAGGGCCACAGAAGGCTCCCTGCTCCTCCCAGAAAGGGACAGCACCCTCCTGGCCTCAACCCCAAAGAGGTGGGGACCCCAAGTGTCCACTGGGGGCAGGGCTGCACTTACCCCAGGGGTGGCCACCTGCATGTTGAAGGCAGCACTGGCCAGTGTGAAGCAGTGGAGGAAGGACTGGGCTGACACACCTGCAGAAGAGGGACAGGTGTGACCGGGTAGCCAGCCTTGGGGCCTTCTTGGTCCTAGATCCATCCTTAGCAAGAGGCCGCCCTAGTGCCCTGGAACCCTTCAGGTCCAGAAAGCTGAAGCCCAAAGGACAAGGTCAGAGGAGCACAGCTAGATCTGACCCCACTAGGCCAGACTCTGTCCCCAACCTGGGACTTTGCCTTCAGGCCCTGGCCAGACCTGGCAGCACCCAGCCCCCCTCAGGGTCCACACCCCTCCCCCATCCTCACACACAGCTGCCAGAGGCCTCCAAAGGCAAACCCAAGTGCAGGGCTCCCTCACGGCTAGGCATCCACTCCCAGCACCCCAGTGTCCAAGGTGCCCACAGCTCAGGAAGGGCAGTGAGCAAGGCCTGTGCCACCAGAAATGGGCCTGTAATGGGCAGCAGCTGGGAAGCACAGGTGTCCTGAGCCCTCCCCACACCCCAGGAAGGAGGAGCCCTTCCTCCCCAGGGCTCTGGAATTTTGCCCCTTCTGCCATCAAGGCACCTTTCAAAAGGAACCGGGCCTGCGCAGTCCTGGAGACTGCGCGAGAGCACAGCTCTGCGCCTGGACTCCAAGGAGCACTAACCCGAGTTACCCTCCACAGCACCCAGCGTCTACACTGGTTTAACTCCGCAACCCAGTCCCTGAACCTCATTTTCACCTGAAGTCAAGGTGCGTTCGTTACCAACCATTCACAGGGGGAATAAAGTTCCCAAACCACACCCCAGACGGTCCACACCCTACGCCTGCCACCACCGCCGCCCAGCCTAGCGGCCCTCTCAGAGCCACGCCGCCACCCCACGTCCTCCGCCAGCCTTCCCCGGCGCCCACACCAGCCTCTGGAGACAATCAAGACCCACACGTGCAGCGCTGCGCCCCCTCGGGCGCCTCCCACCTCCCTCCGGAAATGGCAAGGGGAGCCCAGGCACGACCCCAGGGCGCCATCCCCGCTCCCGCGCCCACGCCCGGGGAGCAACAGACATCCACACGTAGACGCTGGGTCCAGCCCTGACCCCACGCCCCACAGCAGGGCCACGTGCTGGTCACTTTCCCGAGGGTCCCCCCACTGAGTACCAGGCATCTGGTGCTGGGGAAAGCGCCAGCCCCGCCGTCCAGAACCTGCCAGGCACCGGGCGCCTGCTGGGGACAGAGAACCCCGCCGTCCGGTGCCCCCCGGGGCCTTCCCGAGCGCTTCCTGGACCCCACTCCGCCCCTTCCCGAGCGCTTCCTGGAGAAGCGGGGGCCGGGATCCAGGCGGGCAGCCCCCGAGGGGACAAAGGCAGTGGCCAGCACCCCGAGTCCTCCCGAGGGAGCCCCGGGCTCAGGGCCGCAGCACCCAAGAACGGCCGCCTCAGGTGCGGCGCCGGCCTGCCTCCTCCGGCCCAGGCGGCCGCCTCAGGCGTCA